CCCCCAGCCCACCGGCCACCCTGGAGGTCCCCAGAGGAGGGATGCTGCCCCCCAAATTTGTGTGTGTGTGTGGTGAGACACCCAGACACCACGCATCCCCAGGGACCCCCATCCCGCTGGGCCCACTCCCCCCCGGCTCACGGGCAGCTCGCTCGGATGGCTCCGGAGAAACGCAGGCGAAAAATTCCCCCACTCGGTCTCTCGGCCTTCGCCGGTTGTTGTCCTTCCCCCGGGGTGGCTCCTCCGGCAGCTCCCGCCGCGGCGCAGGGATGCTCGACCCGTGGGCGTCAGGCCCTCGCCGCCAGCCAGGCCCAGGCGAGCCCGAGCCCACGCCGGGCACGGGGCAGGCGGCAAACTCTCATTTCCTGCTGCCACTGATTTCTTTTATCTTTTTTTTTTTCTTTTTTTTTTTTTTTTCTCTCTCCTACGGCATGCCCAGCGGAGAAGCGATTTCTAACCCTGATGCACACACGTTCGCTCGCTCGTCACCCCCCTGCCCCGATGCTCAGACCCTTTTCACCCCAATTTCTGAATTCCCCGGGGAGTTTTGCCCACCGCTATCTGCTTTCACCAGAAAAAAAATGAAGAGGGATGGCCTCTGCCCGCGCTGCAAGGCGGCCATGCAAACCCAGAGCCTCGGGTCCCCAAAATCCTCCAGCTGGCCACATCCACGGGGCCGAAGCAAAAGCTGCCCCCAGCCCCAGGGATGCGCTGGGCTCCTGGAAAGGGAAAGCAACACTTTGGGGAGGAGGTGGGGGTCTAACCCCTCGGAGGTGCATCCGAAAATCCCCATCTCGCACCCCGGCGCTCCCGAGGGCGCGAGGAAAAGGGTCCCAAGAGCGGCGTTCAAACCTTGGGCTGCCGCCAGCGCCGGCTGCTTCGACGCGCCGTGAGATGCCCCGGCAGAGCCTGCCGGGAGAGTCGATAGCGTAGAAACGGCGGAAAGAAGAAAAAAAAACAACCCCGGGACAGATGGGGCTGAAGAAATAACATAACGGAGCCCAGTCTGGCCAGGAAGCGGAGACTGGAGAAGAGCGAGCGGGCAGAGATGGTACGAACCTTCCCGAACGCGTGGCGGAGCTGCCGCTTGCTCCGCTGGCAACGCTGCTGCGGGCTGGAGACGTTCCCATTCAATCCCGGTTGCCGCTCCCGGGAGGCGAGGATTTTTTTTTTTTTGGCTCGGTGTGCAGAAAACACCTTAATTAGCAATAAAAGCCACAACCAAAAAGAGTTTGGTGATGACCAAGGGAGTTAATGGCTGTTTTTTTACCGAAGCTCTTAATTCTAGTTAATGGCTGTGTTTAGCACGGCGCTCTAATTCAAGGTGCCCCGCAGCAAAATTAAGCCGTGCTCACGTGCGGAAAAATCGGTGTTACCCAGACCAGTGTTTTAACAAATATCCACGGGGTTGTTGGTGTGGGAACGTTATTGGGAAGGAGGAGGTCGCAAAACGCCCCGCAGCTGGGCGAGGACTCCTCGTCCCCATAAATATCCTATGGATGAGAGAAGCTGTTACTCAAATTTGGCTCACCGTAGCACCGGCCTGGAGGAAAATGCTGACAAAACCCAGTTTCGGTACAAGTAGCCCTAGGAAAGAGCCATTAACTAATGTTTCTAATTGCTTTACATCCCTGTGGATTACTCTTTGATCAGGGCTTTCACTCTCCCAACTTTCCTATCAGCTGTGATTTTTGCTAAACCTGCTGTTCGCACCCTCGTCACAGGGCTGGGAACAATTTAGGGCTTTTCTGGAAGAATTTTTTAAACTCCCAGTTGTTAGAGGTAGCACACTGGGATGGCAACTGAAAAGAATCAATTCAATGAGGCTATTTTCTCCTTTTTTGCATTTTATTTCAGAGGTACTTCCACTCCTCTCGGCACTGTACGTGCAAAGCTCTTTCCAAAAGCGCGTTAAACAGACTGTCAGGTCACATTCGAGTCACTGGCGTTGCCCTGTCCAAGGGAGAGGTGGAGACGTGGTGGAGCGTGTTCGGAACGCAGGCGCTGCTCTGCCGAGCAGGGCAGAAGGGGGAAGATTTCAGCTGGTCTTTTTCGTCCCCGCTGGCCACTGACCGGGGGCGGAGGGAAAGAGGGGCAGCAAGAGGTTCAAACAGAGCTTTCTTCTTGCTCACCTTTGTCTCCAGAGAAAATGGGGAAGGAAAAGGTCACAAGTCCGTCCAACTACAGAGCTTGGCAGGGGCTCAGGCTAAAATAGCCCCACTCTTTCACACTGGCAACGTACTTTTACAAAGATTTGCCTCTGCAGCAATCCACGGTGACTGTAATTTGCTCCTCTCTAGATTTCCAGGAGGAGAAAGCTGTGGCGAGGAAGAGAAAGGACACACAAAGCGGGCCTGGAATTTAGTTTCATTTTATTTTAGCAAACTGCATGTTCTTCACTTATCAACATCTCTACATTAGCAATTGTATAGCTCTCCAACTTTTCTTTAAAAAAGGGTAAACAAGAGGTGACAAAACTCAGGCTCTTCATCTTTTAAAAACATTTGAAAGTTGGATTCAAGAAGACTTTTATATATTTTGGTTTTAAGGTAACAGATGTGGCATGGAAACACTAATTCAAATCACCCGCCTAACCGAGAACTACCCCTTTTGGAGCCCCTCTGGCATCAGACGATCAGCAGACGCTGCAGCCTCCGTTTACTGAAGATCTGACTCACCGCCAAACCAACCTTGCTGGTCTGAAGGAGCCAAACGCGCCGTCTCCTCAGCCTGTCGCTCTAACGGCCGAGCAGAAAGAAGCGCCTCCAGGACAGTGCAAGTGCCGTATATACACTGCTTCTTCACAGAAGCGTTAAGGACCTCGTCATGCAGGGGATCTAGGGAGGACTCTCCTGCCGTTGTACCTTCTCATTAAGAATCACATTCCCCCAATCATCCTGTTCCTGCTGTCTAAAGATATAAAGATCTTCTCTGAAGAATTTTTAAAAGCCAACCCTCCCCCCCAAACCCAAGAGGAACACCGTAAAATGTACAGATTATATATGTCCTAGAAAAGTCCTAAAATTATTGCAGAAACTAAAGATGACTTGTTCCAGGGGAGGGGCAGGCACGAGGCACAGCATTGAGATCTAACAAATGCTCGGGTTGGTTTGATTTAGTTTTCAGCTTTTTCCCCATCATTCAAGAAAAAAAAAAA